CACCGGGGAAGACAGACGTGAATTACAGGGGCTGCTCCTCCCATGAACCCCCTTCTCCTGTCCTGGCCCCCAGTTCTCACTGTCTCTCTCTGTTTCTCTGTCCCACGAGTCCCTATGCTCCCCTCTCCCCACCATGTCACATGAGGCTCCGCTCCCAACAAAGAAGCCAATAAAGTACCTGGTGCTTCAATCCATGTGTGAGACAATGATGGGACTCACCTGTGACTAGGAGCTCCAGGGGGTCACTGGGTTGGGAGCACACCTGGGGCCTGTTCCTGTAACAGCCATAGCATCTGAACGTCCACCTGTGGGTGGGGATCACAGGACCCACAGGGAACAGGGCCTGGAACTGCCCACCTGGCTGTCGCTGTGAGCCCAGGGCCCAGGAGAGCCTGTGATCCCCTTCCTTAGTCAGAAGGAACCTGTCAAATCCCTCCTGTGAGCCACACTGGAGGGTCACGTTCCCTCCTGAGGGCACGACAGGGCTGGGCAGGGCTGAGAGGCTGGGTTTGCTGTAGAATCCTAGGAGAGGAGGAGGCAGCGTGTTAAATGGGGCTCCCACCTCCCTCACTTCCCCCCTGGGCTGGGCTGTGAGAGGGAGACACCCTGAGAGCAGACCCCCTTCCTGAGGGCAGAGCTTGAGGCTGGGACCCCTGAGTGTCCTCTCACCTGTCACCACCACCAGCTCCAGGGGGTCACTGGGCTCTGACCAGCCAGCAGGGCTGTGATAGTAACAGTGATATCTCCCTGCATCACGCTCTGTCATGTGTGTGATGGAGAACTTGGCTTTGTCCTTGGGCTCCAGTGCCTCCTGTCTTTTCCATGATTGTGGGCTTCCCTCTTTATCCAGATGGTACTCCTTGGCCTCTGGGGTCCCCAGACACCAGATGGTCATGGGGCTCCCCCAGAGAACCACAGGGCCTGGGTCAGCCCAGATGGTAGGTTTGGGGAGGGTCCCTGGAAGGAAACCAGAGGCTGGGTTAGAAGGCATTACCCACCCCCACATTCCAAAGATGCCCCACATCCATTAACCCAGAACCACTGTTCTCCATCCCCAGATGCACAGGCTGTAACCCCTTGTCCCCAGTGAGAGGGACCTGGGACACCTGGGGACAGTCTCACCTGCTGTCACTTGGTTCCAGAGGTCCATACTCAGCCCTGGAAGAGAGTCGCTGTGAGAGATGTGCCCCTCAATCCTGAGTAGCACCCTCCTCCCCATGAGCCCCCTGAGTCTTGGGGGTCCTGACAGAGCAGGGCTCCCCTCTCCCTTGAAATCTCACCAAAGCAAAGCACAGTGATGAGGGTGGTGGTCATGGTTTCTCCTTGCTCGGATGCGGGGTGTGTAGACGGAGACGATGGTCCCATCTGGGTAGATATAGAGGGTGTGGGCACTGGGTGGCTGGCCCTCCCTCTCTCGTGGTTGTCACGTCAGCAGCCCCACACGATTGGGAACAGCCTCTCTAACAGCCTGGCTCTCATTTCCATGGTGAAGCAGGAAACAGACCCGGAGCCTCCTGAGACGCCCCTTGCAGGTGAGGTGACCCAGGGCATGTCCTTCCCTGTCAGAGCCTCCTCCACGGGGTCTCCTTCCTCCTCAGCCCGTCCATCAGCACCTCCCTGGGCTCCTCACCATGGACAGTGTCACCCGGGCCCTGGAGACGCTTCAGGAAGACGTGGGTCCCTGTGGCCTGCAGAGCTCAGATCAGCAGGGACAGGTTCAGCCTCCAACTGTGCAGCTCAAGGCGATGTCCCTGTGACAATGAGCACAGAGAGGGGATGAAGGGAAATAAGGGAATGAAACAGGTCTCTTCTCCTGGCCCCAGAGTGTGGCTTTCTTCCTACCATAGCCGCCCTCAAACTTGTGTGTGTGTGTGACAGCATCCACCCCACCTTCCTGGCAACAAGCCTATGAGTCATTTCTGCCTCCTCAGTGCCCCTTGTTTCTGGGTTGAAGTCTCTTCCTCATTCTGTGGCCCTGCCTTCAAGCTTTACGGGACATGCATTGAGGTTAGAGTTCGGATTTTGACTTAAAACTGACTTTTATTTAAATGCCCATCACCCGTGTAACCTTGAGTGGCGATGTCCTGTCTCTGAGCCTCAGTTTGCCCATTTGGATCCTCAGAGTGGCTGTGGGTCAGTGGGGCTGGTCCCATGGGAGGGAGACATCGACTTCAGACCAGATGAAGACCTGAGTGGGTGGGCGATGAGGGGATCAAGGCGTCTACAGTCAAGTGCAGGATCGTTACACCCACTCGAGCCCTTGTCTGCTCTGAAGACCAAATAAAGCTTCTTACAATAGTTCTATAATTTTAGGAACAGACAAATGCAGAAAAAGGGGAAATGAAAGTTGCCCCACAGGAGAGGGAACTACAGGGAAAAACCGAAAGAAAAGCTGAGTTGGTCACCAGGGTCTGAAACCATCATCAGGTCATCAGAGAGGAGATTCTATCCTGTGTGGTCACAGAGAAGGACCCCAGGTCCTCACAGGAAGGGAGAGGTCGGGGTCCAGATGAAGGTCGGAAGCTCTGGTCACCCTGCTCATGTTTCTGTACATGAATTGGGACATCTCTGGCCACTACATTGAGCCCATGGTCTGCAGTGAGCAACTTCACCTGTGTGGCCTGAAGCAGACCAAGTCCAGCATTGTCAGCCACGGGGGTCTGTCCCGTGTGTGCATGTGAAGCTCCCATTGGACTGGCCCTGAGAAGCAGAACCCTGGGCAGACGCTGAGTCTGAGAGAGTGGTCACCATGCGGCAGGGGCAGCTGCCAAAGCCCCTCCCTCAACAACCTGACTCCCAGGGCAGTCCTGGTAACAACCTATGGAAGGTCAGGTGTGTGAGGGGCGAGTCTTCCAACAAGAATGCACAGTAGAGTCATCCTGATAATGATAAACAGTGCTACGAGCAGCAATCTACTGATGATGGGGACTGTCATGTGCAATAGAGTAGAGTCAGTAGGAAAATATGAGAGTAATTGGAAATTAATCCTGCTTCAATATCTGGCACATAAAAGGCGGAGTCAATTTTTGACACAAGAAGAATATGGATTCTTTTCTAAAAGAACCTAATGAGTTAGAACTTTGAGAGATGAAAAACCCAATAGAGGGGGGTAAGAGATCAACCGAAGGACTTGTATGCATGCATATAAGCATAACTAATGGACATAAGACACTGGGGGGTAAGGGAGGCCAGGGGATTGTCAAGGGCGGGGGGGAGGGGGGGAAAGGACACATATGTAATACCCTTTGCAATACTTTTAGCAATAAAAAAAAATAATAATAATAATAAAAAGAAAGAAAAACCCAATAGAAGGAGCACATTAAAACAATTCAACCCCTCAGGGAAGAGACAGAGCTGAAGAGACGATCATGAAAGTGGAGTATAATACTGAGGAAATTCCCAGAACACAGCATAGGGGGACCTGAAGTGGGGATGTAAGGTACTTGAGGAGCACAATGAGAAGGGTCAGTGTCATATCCCTGATGTCAGAAGGAAAGAAGTGAGAATGACATCTAGTAACCGCTCGAGAGATAAATAATTGAAAATTTTACAGACATGAGAAAAGACCAAACAAGTGATAAGGTGCACATGCTTAAAAATGAAATCCCCAAGATCTGCAATCTTTATCTTGATCTTTTGTGGTAAATGAAGGATAAATTTTTTAAAAGTATATCCTACACTGAATTGTACACATTAAAATGGTTGATTTTATGTGAATTTCAACTCAAAAACAAATCAAGGAAGACTAGCCTGGGTTTCTAAAAGGGTCGTCACCTTACTTTCTAGAGAAAAATGCAAATCGCCATAATGACAAGCTCCCTGGGACCAGACTTCCTCACAGGAAACGCCGATACCAGAAGATAGTGGAGAAATACCTCCATGGAGCTGACTGTTAGTGAACATTGTGTCCTGAGCCACATTAATTTTAAGGGACAAAGGTGAATGTGTCAGCAGGGGCAAATCCCTGAGCGAGAAGTAGTGTCTCCCTCCTTAAACCCACCAGGTCAGGCTGGGTATCCATGAGGGAGACGAGGTTTTGGGGGAGAGATTCTTCAGACCTCCAGGTGTGGTTTTCTGCTCTTTGGAAATGCCTGTGTAAGTTTGGCGTGTGTGTGTGTGTGTGTGTGTGTGTGTGTGTGTGTGTGTGTGTGTAAGTGCATAAGCATTTGTAAGAAACCACCAATGAAGCCTCCTGAACTGATATATTTATACTAGAGGCCCGGTGCATGAAATTCATGCAGTGGTAGGCCTTCTTAACCCACAGGTGGTTCTGGAAGGTCATTCCAGAACTTCATTCCGAAGGTTGTTCTGCCATCCAGTCTAATTAGCATATTAGCTCTTTATTATATAGGATATTGCAAGAGGAGGACCATCCTGGCCTTATCTACCAGCTTTCTCCTGTCCCTGAGTTGCCGTCTCTCTCTCAGCAACACACAAGAATAAGATAACTGGGGTCTTAGCTATAACACCATGCTGTGCATTAGAGCCTCAGGATTTGCCAGTCTTGTAACTGGAAGGTTGTACCTTTTAACCAATCTCTCCCCATGTCTCCCTCCCTCCCCCGACCGCTCTACTCTTTGTTTTTATCTTTTTTACTTTTGTCGTATTCCACAGCGCTCATGTGCCGGGCAATGTTTATCATGTGTATTTACTATATACATAAGGTGACATGGATTTTCTACTAACTCTGATGTCTACTTAGTAAACTGTACATTTGAAAATGTCCACTTTTTAAAAAATATTTCTTATTGATTTCAGAGAAGAAGGGGGAGGGGAGAGAGAGATAGAAACATCAATGATGAGAGAGACTCTGATCAGTTGCCTCCTGCATGCTCCAAACTGGGAATGGAGCCCACAACCCCGGCATGGTCCCTGACTGGGAATCAAACCTTGATCTCCTGGTTCATAGGTCCATGCTCAACCACTGAGCCACGCCAGTGGTTAATACATGGACATCAAATTTTATTTTCTTAATTAGAGAGAAAGAGGAAGGGGAGAGAGAAACATCAATTTGTTGTTCCACTTATTTATGCATTAATTGGCTGATTCTTGCATATGCCCTGACCAGGGATCAAACCTGCGGGCTTGGCGTATTGGGGTAATGCTCTAATCAACTGAGCTAACTGGGCAGGGCCTGGCATTAAATCATTTATCATGTTGTGGTATCTGTTTAAAGTCTGTAGGATCTGTGATGCTGTCCTCGTCGTGGGAATGTGTGCCTCTTCTCCTTTTCCCTGTCTACTGTGGCTAAGATTTATCAGTGTGATTACAGTTTTCAAGAATAAAATTTTTTGACTTTGCTGCTTTTTCTCTATTTTTGTCTGTCCTCACTAGTAGCTACTCATTATTACATCCCTCGTTCTACCCTCATTTAGAATAATTGGCTATTCGTTTTCTAAATTCTTTATGTAATAAATTAGGTCTTGACCTTTTAGGTTTTTCTTTTCTAATATATTCACTCATTATTTTTATTTTTTTTATTTCATAGGCTTGATGCATAATATTTACATGATCATTCATTGAAAGCATTTGTTCACTTCCTGTCAATAATCAATTCACACGTTGGTTATTGAGAAGTCTGTTGCTTTGATTCCATAATGTAGGGATATTAGTCATCTGTGATTGCAGAATCAGGCGACTCCCAGGGGCATCCCAGGAGCAGTTTGGGGTCCACGTCAGATCTCCAGACTGGCCAGGGCACTGAGTGTCCATGGGGGCCGCTCCAGTGTCCTCAGGGGTCCTGGCAGCCAACTCCCTGCACTGTGGGGTCTGGGCTAGTGGATGGGCAGAGCAGCATACACACTGGACTCATCTGGGGACTTCTCTGATGGGAGGAACAGGGTGTTGTCCTCTATCTGAGGGCCGAGTGGTTCAGCAGGGCATAGGCTGTGTGCGTGGGGGCATCAGATGCAGCAGCCTGGAGCAGGGGGAGAGAGAGAGAGGGATGAAACGTGGTTGGGTTGTGGAGGTCCTAGGGGCCTGGGGAGGATGGGACCCACCTGAGTGTCCTCTTCTGTTTGTCTGCCCTTCTGGTCCAGCAACCCCCCAGAAGGGGAGGAAGGAGAGGTGGCCATTCCCTGCCTGGGTCTTGGTCTTGAGTGGTTCACCTGGGCGTACATCACTCCCTGGGGGTCTTCATCCTGCCTGTTCTGCTGGAGACAGTGAGACAGAACAGTGTCTCCTTGATTCCACAGTAGAAATCCTCCTGTCAATTATCCTCATGTTGCCAGAGAGATGGTTTACACTTTAAATAGATCAGGTCCCTCTCCTAGTGGAATCTGCAGGGCCTTCCTGAACCTTGGGGCCTCTGGATGCTTCTATGGTTCTGACTCTTATCCTAACAGGTTCTCTCTTGCTCACTTGGCTCCAGCCTCATGGCCCATCCTCCTGAATAAGCATGTCCTGCCTCAGGACCTTTGCACCCGCTCTTTCCCTGTCTCCCCACCATGTACTCTATCCCCTCCTCTTGCTTTATGTTCCTTCACAGCACTTTGCTCTCTGGGACACTGTCTGCTTGTTTGTATATAGTCTCCCTCACCCACAGGGGAATTGGAGGCATGTGGAGACAGTGTGGCTCAGGGCTGCACCGTGGCCCCTAAATGGAGCCGGTAACCAGTGAGCCCTGTCACATCTGCTGGGTGAATGAATGAAGGGGATCCTGGGGACCTGTGGGTGAGTCACTTATTCCTTCATCCTCCTGAGACCTGGGGCTGCACAAGGTCAGACAGAGGATGAGGGGACAGCAAAGGGGGCCACATAGGAGGGGCCATGAGGTCACATGGAAACCAGGAGGAGTGAGTCACAGCAGGACGACCTGGGGCCCAGAGGGGAGGTCAGTGTGGACGCTGCTGAGAAGCAGGTGAGGTGGGACAGGGAAGGGTCCATTGAATTAAAATGGGCAACAGAAGGTCCTTGGTGGCCTGGACAGGAGCAGGGGTCTCACCGGAGGGTCCAGCTCCATGCTCTCCCCAGGCTGCGGGTCCGTCACATCAGCATCTGCTGGGGCAGAACAGGGGTGTGTCTCCTGACAGGTCCCCCAAGATCTCAGGGCCGCAGACCCACCTGCTCCCAGATGGGCCACTAACCCAGGGTGAGGTGCAGAGCCAGGTCACACAGTGTGGGTCTCAGTCCTTCTCACCCCTGACCCCCATCCTCCCAGCCCCTCTCCTCTCAATCATCCCCTGAAATCCCTGCGCCCCCTCCCCCAGGGCAGCTGTCTCTTCCTCTCACAGAGGGGCTCCTCCTGGGTGTCCACAGCTGGGCTGGAGCTGAGGGTGGAGACAGGAGTGTTAGGGGTAGAGCTGGGCGATGGATGGTCGGAGTCTGGGGTCTTCAGGGCAGGAATTACCTGATCTGCAGGCCTCTGTCCTTGGGCTCTGGGCCTGTGGTCCCTGCAGGAGGTTGGACATGAGCCCCTCTCTGGGCTGGTTAAGAGGGACAGTCTCAGCCCTGGGAGGATAGAACCCTCCCCACTATGATTCCACAGGAAAGACGGAAAACGTAACACACTTATGCATAACTTTCATATTTCATGGCATTGACAATAATGAAAGATTACCTTAAATACATACACACGTGCTGACATTGAGTGCTACATTTTCTGATACGAGATTCTGGAGAAATCCTTTTCTCAGCTGACCTTCTCCATCCATTTGGTTTTCCTGTGGCAGGTGCTCTGAGCCCCCTCCCTCCTATGACCCAGGTCACCCCATTCCCTACTCACCTGACACCCTGCCTTTGCTCTGACGTCGGTGTCGGAGGAGGAATAAGAGGAGGAGGGAGAGAAGCAGGACCAGGGCCACTGGGAGCCCGATCAGGATATACAGGTACCATTTGAGACCTTGGACAAGGGTGATGTCATGAATGAGCCAATGATGCGATTTAATGAACACCTACTGTGTGCAGGGCTCATGCTGGGGTCTCTCACTCATCTCCTCTCACCTCACAGCAGTCATGCACCAAGGATTGCTGACTCTACCACCCACGTTACTGAAGCTCAGAGAGGTTAACCACGTGCCCCAGGTCACCCAGTCTGGACGGGGCAGGGCTGGAATGGGAACCTGGAGCTATGGGTTCCCTGTCCTGTCCTCACACTGCCCCCCAGGGGGACACCAGCTTCGTGCTCTGGGCTCCTCATCTGCAAAGGCCTGTCCACTTATCATCTGGAGCTGAAGGTCCTTCCTCATTACCCTTCCCCAGCACAGCAGGGAAAGGAGGGGCAGGGTAAGGGCTGGACTCTGAGTCTCTTCCAGATCCCTCTCCACCTTGTAGCTCCTCCCACACCCTTGGGAATATTGGGCTGGGCTGGGGCTCTGCCTTCTTGAGCTCTGTGAGGCCCTTATGTCACCTCATCTCCCAGCAGCCTGTGAGCAGGATGGGACCAGGGATGATCAGACAGGAAGCCGACACTCAGAGGAGAGAAGGGGCCGCCCAGCCCCACAGCAGGAGCAGCAGAGCCAGCAGCAGAGCCAGGAGCTGATCCACCCTGTTCCCTCCTCTGAGCTGAGCCTGATCTGAGGGGGAGGACTGGGTGCCCGGACCTTGCCTGCCTGTCCCTCCCTGTACAGTGTCACCGTCACTGAGACAGAGGGACAGGCCCCATAACATCACGTCCTGGGGGCTTCCCTGTGAGGCCCCTCTCCCAGGAGGTCAGGGTCAGAACCGACAGGAAATGTAAGATCTGGACAAGGATTCTTTCCTTTCACACTTGGAGACACTGAGGCCCAGACAGGGGAAGGGCGGGTCCAAGTCAGCGAATTCAGAGGCACCTGAACCCCCACATGGCTGAGCCCCTGCCCCCATGGAGGCACCCACCACTTCCCCACGGAGCCCCTCACTTACCCCTCTGTGGGCCTGACTCCATCGGGGGGAGTTGCGGATCCTCAGAGGCTCCTGGGGATCAAAATGTGGGGTGAAGGGCAGGGCTGCCTTCTCCCCACTTGAGCCCAGCTCCTCTGCCCCAAGATGGGTCCCCACATCTCCCTCTGCCACGACCACCCCACCTGTCTGTCAGTCTCAGAGCCTAGGAGCCTGACCTTTCCCAGGATCTCTCCCAGACTCCCAGCCCCCCTGGGACACAAGCCTGTCCTTAAGTGTCAGGGGACGGGGGAGGCATTAGATCCTCTGAGAGACTCAGGACCGCCCTGGGGTGGTCTGTCTTTCTCAGAGCAGAGGGGACCCAGTGGTTCATCAGCTGTGGACATGGGCCCTGTGGGTGGGGGCTGGGAAATAGGGGTCCTGGGAAGGAGGACAGAACAGGTGAGAAGCTGGGGCTGACTCTGGAATCCCCACCTCACTCAGATCCTCCTGCATCTGCCTTGTGACCCTCAGACCCTCCCACTGCCCTCCTGGCACCTTCCAAACCCAGGGGAGCGAGATAGGTGAACAGGGATAGCAGCGTCTCTGAGGGGCAGATCTCCTCTGGGTGACCATCCCTAGAGCCCCTCCCTCCCTTTCAGCCCAGGATTGTTCTGGGGACGGGACCCTGAGCTGAAAGCTCAGCAGACATGTCAGGGGCCCTCACCTGAGACCAGGAGCTCCAGGGGCTCACTGGGGAGTGACAGCAGGAAGGGGGAGGTGCTGTGTGAGCTGTAGCACCTGTAGGTGCCCCCGTGGGCTGAGGTCACAGGACTCATGGAGAACTCTGCCTGGGACTGCTGAGCTCTGTGCTTTGATCTCAGATGCAGGGGGGGATCGGCTGCCCCCTCCTTGGACAGAAGGAACGTGTCCCTCGGGCTCCGTGACTGACACAGCAGGGTCACGTTCTCTCCTGAGGCCACCCTGGGGCCTGGCTGCACCGAGAGTGAGGGTCTGTCAGGCAGGTGTCCTAGAGAGAGGGAGGGAGGGTGAGGGCTGCCTGCCCACCTTGTTCTGCCCTGAAAGTCACCAGGCCTCTCTCTGAGGACCCTCCTCTCTGTCTGTCTCTGTTTCTCTGAGTCTCCCCCTCTTCCCTCCCACCCCCTGTCTCTCTCTGTCTCTCTCCCTCCCTGGGGCCTGCACTGTCATTCTGGCCTCACCACCTGAGACCCCCAGCAGGGCCTGTGCAGAGTCTGGTCCCTGACTGAACCCACTGGCTCCTCACCTGCCACCAGGATGTCCAGGGGGTCACTGGGGGCCGACCACTCAGAGGAGAGGTTGTATCCACCGTAGCATCTGTACCGGCCTCCGTGGGAGCTGCTCACAGTGTCCAGTGGGAAGTGGGCCTGAGAGAGCCCAGCCTGGGGCTGCAGGACAAGGCTCTGGGGGAGGTCCCGTCCCCCCTCCTTGTGCAGAGCGAATCTGTCATAGCCGACATCAGAGCGACACTGGAGGGTCAGGCTCTGTCCAGAGGCCACGATGGGGCCCTGCTGGCTCAGGAGGGAGGGCTTCCCAGACTCACCTGGGGAGACCAAAAGTGAATTACTGGGGCTCCTCTTCCCACAAACCCCTTCTCCTGGCCTGGCCCCCAGGTCTCACTGTCTCTCTCTGTGTGTCTCTGGCCCCCAGGGCCCTCGTGTTTCCTTCACCCTCTCACATGGGGCTCCCCTCCCAGCAAAGATGCCAATAACCTGGTTGGCACCTCAATCCATGGACGGGACAATAATGGGACTCGCCTGGGACCAGGAGCTCCAGGGGGTCACTGGGGTGTGAGCACACGTGGGGGCTGTTCCTGTAGCAGCCATAGCATCTGAACCTCCACCTGTGTGTGGGGGTCACGGGGCCCACAGGGAACAGGGCCTGGAACCGCCCACTGGGCTGTGAGTCCAGGGTCCAGGAGAGCCTGTGATCTCCTTCCTTAGTCAGAATGAACCTGTCAAATCCCGGCCATGAGCCACACTGGAGGGTCACATTCCCTCCTGAGGTCACCACAGGGCTGGGCAGGGCTGAGAGGCTGGGTTTGCTGTAGAATCCTAGGAGAGGAGGAGGCAGCGTGTTAAATGGGGTTCACACCTCCCTCACGTCCCCCAGGGCTGGGCTGTGAGAGGGAGACACCCTGAGAGCAGACACCCTTCCTGAGGGCAGAGCCTGAGCCTGGGACCCCTGAGTGTCCTCTCACCTGTCATCACCACCAGCTCCAGCGGGTCACTGTGCTCTGACAAGCCAGTGGGGCTGTGATAGTAACAGCGATATATCCCAGCCTGTAGATTTGTCATGTGTGTGATGAGGAACTTGGCCTTGTCTCCGGGCTCCTGTGGCTTCTGTCTGTCCCAGGGCACTGGGCTTCTCTCTTTATCGAGACGGTACTCATTGGCCCCTGGGGTCCCCTGACACCAGATGGTCACAGGGTTCCTCCAGGGGATCACATTGCCTGGCTCAACCCAGATGGTGGGTT